CATTTTCTCTATCCAAGGAGTTCCTGGTGTAAACTGAATCATAGCACAATGGGTGAATGAACAAAGTCATAGAAGCAAGCTGCTCTGGCAGAGTTGCACGTGGTGAACACTACACGAGGCATCTCTATTTTATATGCTTTTGAGCTTTTTTGATCAGACTGTCTCCTCAGATATATGATCATTGAAGGATATACAAAAGCTTTGCAAAAAGTATTGTCTGACGTTTACTTCTTACATTCAGTAATATGAGATACACAGTTCTAGGCAGAACAATAGGCAGCCTGTAAAAACCTCCTCTAAATTTCTTTCTCTGGTGTGTTTTTCAGGTTTAGATCAGAACCCTGTAGAGTGGTATAGAAGTACAGATGCAGCAGTCTAAGAGTTACAGTGATCAATCCACAGCTTGTTCGTGGAATAGTGTGAAGACACTGAATTTGAGAAGGTTGAGTGGTAGTCTGCAAGGCATTTTCAGTTAGCACTGGTCTATGGGTTTAAAAATAAAAAAAAAAGTGAACTTGGCTTCTGTGACGTCCAAAATCATCATCGTCTTCTATGTTGCCCTGTTCATGTGCCAACCACATCTTCTGTTGTAGAAGCCACAGTTGCTCATGTCGTGTGGTTTCCCCATATCTTTCTCTCAAGTGTTAATCTTCTCATTACCAGTCTGTTTGGGCAGGCTGGTTTCCTTTGCTGTGCCACTTCTTCCCCTTCTTTGTCAAGAATTACTGACAACCCCCACTCCTCCTTTTAAGACATGTACTTCTAGGCTGTTCAAGTTCCATCCTGAGATGAGACAGAGATTAAATGGCAGTCAAACTCAACATTTAATAGTGAGTTTGTAATCTGATACAGTTCACCTAGTTTATCTCTGATATTCAACAGAATTCAGCCTGTCATGCTTGGCTACCAACAAAGACTAATATGTGGTGCAGTAGGAAACATTTCTTCTAACTGTAAATAAAAGCAAATACATTTGATGCTTTTTGTAGGCATCTGTGGAAGTCAGGACCAACCCCGTTGGGACTCAGAAAGCAGCCCTCAGGGTTATGGATCTCACATGACCTAGTTTATTCTTCATTAAAACAGATGGTATCTATCTAAGCAAGGCAGACTTGGTTTTAAGAAAGAGCTGGGGATTAAAAGGATGGGAAGCTGGAACAGCTGGGCCTAATTAATGAGAGCAAATAAGAGGCAAACTGAGCATTACATTAGTCACCTACATCAATAGCAAAATAGTCACTACATGACTACTCACTCAGTTGGTTTAGCTGATCAAAAGTTACAGGATTGGTTTTCCTAGCATCAAAAGTATCTAAAATTGCGTCAGAAGTATTCCCACATTCTTTATTCTTTTTACCAGGCTTCAAAGAGAGTAAAATCCTGGAAGCTGTGTGTGGTGTTTTGGCATGGTGTTAGGGAATCCAGCTTGTCTTGTAAGGCTGAGAGTGCTCTTCTTGCATTTGATACCTAGGCCAAGCTGGTCCTCTGCAGTTTTTGGCCTCCTCCCTTTGTGCATGTTTAACATGAGAAGGTTACCTAATTGAGAAGATTGCTGGCATTCCTTCAAGTTCTGCAACCACACTGAATTTGCAAAGGAATCCAAAAATTTTGTTTCTGTTGTAAACAGATTATACTGGATTAGTGGTTAGCATTTTTCATGCTTGTTCTGTTTGCCCATTTAGTCCTGAAAATCTTGAATTGTGTTGTTGCATGTTGCAAATAGCACAGGCACTCTTCACTTGCTTTTGTTACTGGTGGCCGGAAACCTCCATTTGCTATATGTCTTAGCAGGGAGAAGGGGACTGTGCCAATAAACTACTATTACCTTCTAATAACAACTGTTTTCATGAGGTGTAATTTTCTGATGTAAGTGCATTTTTGCTCTAAAACCCTGGCATTGCATGCTATAATAGAGACAGGTAGGGATGTGCGTGTGTGCGTGCATGTGTGTGTGTGTAGCCATTGCTCTTCCTTCATCCCAGGACTCATCCAGAACAGTGCACAGTCCCTGAAGTTCTCTTGTTTTGAACTAAACATTAAATAAATGCCAGTAGAATATTGTGCAAATCTGTAAACACTGTACTTGCTTTAATTATTATGTGTAAGATGGACAAGTACAGAATATTTCTATTTTAAGGTAATCCTAGGGAATGTTTGCTTACTTGACAGGGGTTCACATTTAGCTGGTTAATGCAGCTGAGCTCTGAGGTGATCACGGAAAAAAACTGAACAATTCTTTCAGGGGGATTAACAGAAACTGTTCCATGAGCTTAGTGTCTCTTTCCTGGAGGGCAGGAGGCAGTGGTGCTTTGATAGAAGACTGGTAACTTTGCCTTTTGCTGCTTCCAAAAACATTTTCTCAAATGTATGGAGCTGGGCCTCCATCTTACACACTGCCACTTCGCTGCTTCAATTTTTTAGTTTTCTTTCCATAAATGTGAGGGGCAGAATTTCCACCTAGTCACAACAATAAGACCTGTTTTTATAAAACAGCTAGATTTTTCTTGACTGTGCTAAACAACGATAATACCTTGTTGCAACCTCCCACGTTGACCATTGTGTCCCATCCCGTTCCTCTCTCCTCCCCCCCCATTTGCAAGGAAGAGAATTTTAAAAATCTTTGCAGAAATGGCTAAAAGCATGATCAGGAGATCCAGACCAAATGTTTGAAGTGAGATATTTGAATTGTAGTCATCTTTGTATGCAAACTTTATCTGGTTGTCTGAAGACCGGCTAAGCATTGAAAAAAAAGAAAAAAAAAAAAAGGCTGAACAATTAATCCTGTACGTGGCCGTGCAAAAGCATAAATTAAACCCCATTTGCATACTCGTATACAACTGTTCTTAAGTTTCAGCAAGTTCCCCTTCTCCTCCTTGTTAAGGGCCCCACATGGTTTTTTCCGTGGTTGAAAAAAATGCATAGTACTCACCATGTTTGCTCTTCGCCTCTCTTTGCAGTGAGAGGAGTTTAACTGAACAGCTTAAATGGTGTAAGTAATTTCCAGAACGTCCCTTTTTTTTTTTTTTTTTTTTTAGGGCTTTAAGAGAGCATATTGTTTGTCAAAAGTGCTGGAAGGGTGGTGGTTGTGTGTCTGGGTACTGTCACTGCCAACTGATGTAGGCCTAATGGATTTTCTGAGAAGACTTGAATGGGAGAAGATTCATATTATGAGAAGAGATGTCTGAAAACGTCTTGGTCTGTATTGTCGTCTTGATTTCCATAATTGCTTGAAACTGGGCTAAAGATCTTTGAAAAAAGACTGCCTGCAATCAGTTCAACAACAAAACTGGTTAGGGAGGTTGTATGTTCTAGCCTGTCTGTGTGGTCTTCTGATTTTCCCAGAGGCTCTCTAGATTAGGTGCTTGCCACTATTCTGGAATATCCTGCCAGGCTTTGCTGCTGCTGGCAGAGACATTTTTAAAGAGGCCGTGTTTCTAAAGTTAGAACTATTGCTAAATAAGTCCCCGACAGGTCCTTCTTTGAAAATAGATGGAACTTGTGATTGCTATTATTATTACTATGGATATTTTTGAGCAGCACCATTTGTAAAGTTAGACCAATGGCATAATGAAAAATTAAAGCATTCTAAAATAAAAATTTCTAGGACAAGTAGAACAAGTCATGAAACATAAGATCACTAAAGCCCTAGGGACAATTAGGTATGTGTTCACTTATGACTTTCGTGTTGAATATGTCTATGGAAGCCCTTTGTTCATTCAAGTATTTAAATGCATATAAAACCAGCATTTACTTACGGGGTTGGTAATGTTAATTTCCCCAAGTCCATGTTTAGAAGTCTTAAAAATGCAAGGTGATTTTTAGTTTCGGTGTGCAATACGAATATAGTTATTCTTGACAGTGGTTTTCCAGATACTCAGAACTTAAATTTCAGCTCCTAATTTTGAAATAACCTAAGTTTATTGAATGTATAGACAAAATATTAAGATGTAAATAATCAGTATTTTAAGTAGCTTGAACAGATGTCTCTACTTGGAAGCTTTTGGGCCTTTTTTTGTATGGGTTTTTTTACTGCAGAACCCCATCCCCATGAAATTGAGGTTGTTTACAGGTATAGTCATGTAATGTGACTGCATTGTTGAAGGATTTAATTGCACGATAAATTTTCTAGGGTAACCTGGTGGCTCACTTCACACTAACAGCAGGCTTTATCTGAGACCTGTTTACAGTTTTCATGGTTAAAGAGCTCTAACTCAGGACAGGTGGGAATGTAAAACTGCTTTCATAGAATCTTTTGTGCTTGGACAACTGTAATCCTTGGTGGGTTTGCGTAGTGAGAAGTTTTATCTCAAAAGCTGGTTTTGAAAGCTGTATTGGTAATGGAGCTGCAAGTTTCATAAAACTGGATTGCTGAAGTTGTTGGTTTCTAGTTTGAAATATGAGTATTTTGTTTTTAGTAAACATGGTGCTCTTAAACAACATTACAAGTGACTGGAAGGAATAACTGTTAAATAAAATGAATATGTTTTAAGTGAGAATACACATACAGAACACAAACACTTTTTTATAAATTCTCAAGTTCTTGAACCTACTGGAAGCAAAAACTCCCTTGTTTTTTCTCCCCTCCTCAAGTAATGCCATTTTGGAAGTTCATCTTTTGGTCTCTCCCCCCACCCCACCTCTCTCAAGAATCTATTTCCTTTCACGTACATACTTAGCTCCCTCTACTACATGTCTTAGAAAGTTGTCTTGTAGTATAGGTTGATCATAACTGGTCAGCACAATCTGAAATCAATGGACGTAACAGTTAATAATACTGAAACAGCTCTATGGGCTGCCTTCCTAGAGTGTGTGCAAAGAAGGGGATGATTGTGAGCTTAAGTATAAGATTTTTATTCTTTTGGAAGGTGTTTGTCAACAAGAGAGTGACCTTTTACAAGTTAGGCAATTTGTTTGAATGCCAAGCATCCTTTATAATGGCACATATTTCTGTCGGAGAATAGGATTAAAGCTATCTGGTGTACTGTTCTAATGGAATCTACATGGCATTGTGTAATGAGCGAAAAAACAATGAGCAACCACCCAACGAGCTGAACTGTGTGTTCGTCTTCAAATGTGTAACACTGTGCTGCAATACAAATAGCAAGTGTGGCTAAACGTGCTAGTTTTAACTTTCATTTCAAACTAAAAGAAATACTCAGTTCAGTTATGTATAATTGTCTTGAGTGCAATGCACTTAAAAGGAACTTTAATGACTACTGTATTGAATAGAGAAATGCATAATACATGATTTAAAAGACAGTATCTTTTTATTTTCCTTTTATATTTTTAAGAGTGAATTGAAAAAGGAATACATTAACTACAAAAAAAGAGTGCCTGAAATCTGCTGTTTCCATGTAATATACTGATGCAGCACTATAAGGAGATTTTTTTTTAATTTGTTTTTAGAGAGGTCAGCAACTTCTAAGTATTTTTCCCATCACTCTCTTATCCTGCTG